ACCCACAGAATCATGAGACATAAATTATCACGAGACATTCTTGTTCCCAGTCATAAATTTTGGGGTGGTTTTTATACAGAAATAGATAACTGAAAAAATTAACAATGCTTTTAAACAAGACTTATAAAATATATTTTAAAATATCTTACCTAGTTACTTTGTTTTGTAATTTTGGATAATTTCTTTTTTAAAATTTTATTTTATATTTTTAGTTCAAGTATAATGAACATAACAGTGTTATATTAGTTTCAGGTGTATAATATAATAGTTCAACAATTCTATACATTTTTCAGTGCTCAAGTCCTCCTAATCTGAATAATTTCTTTTTTACCTTTCATATTTTGTAGATACAGAAGCATATGTATAAAATTTAAAATTTATTCCTTTTTTCTTTGCATTGGTGATAAATATTAGGTACTTTACTACAGAATGAAAGGACACAGTCTCAAAGGATGACCCTGTTTAGTTTCTGGACTGAAGGCACCTGCTTATAGACCATTTTCCATTAAGTATTATGTAACTACTTGGAATAAAGTAGATCTTCTTCATTAGGTTTTAAAGGTATCTCTCAAATCTTAATTTTTATTAGAAATAGGTGCTCATTCTATTAGATACACCCTTTTAGGGAAATTGGTACAATAACTTTTAATTATTTCATCTACTATAACTTTCTATAATTAGAAGTTTTTCTTTATTAAACTGGCTAAACTCTCACCAGTAACAATGGATAATCTTTTCAATCTCCTCCTGAATTTCATCTAAGCTTAATATCGTGATTAATGACTGAGACTGTCTCAGGATTTTTCTTTTCTTGTGTGTTATCAGGAAAGAATCCTCTCGTGCAATTATTGGCTGCTTCTGAATTTCAAGAAAAATTTATACGGGGACATCATTTTTCTTTGAAGCTTTGAAAACAATGAACTCTAAGCGTATTAGTTTCAGGTGACATTTGGGATTTGGGGACATTTTTAGATAACTTTTCAATACCCGTCATATTTGGGCCATTGACAGTTTTGTATGCTCCGTCCCATTTTCTTGCACGTAATATCCAAAATTCTTATTCATATTTCTTCCTATATAGCTGCCTGACATTCCTTAATAATTTTTTTATTTCTCTTATGTATTGGTGAATGCTAACCTCTTTTCTCATTTCTAATCTTGTTCATTTGTATTTTCCATTTTTTGATCAAATTTATGTTGCTTTAACAATGTTCTAAGAAACAATCATTGATTTTATTTATAAATTGCATTGAAAATTCATCTGTCAGTTCACAAAAAATCTATTTGATTTCCTTCTTTTTTGTTTGCTTTCACAGCTTTTACAGAATCTTTTTAAAGTATAGTTAAGTTGGTTAATTTTCATGTTTTTTTTTCCCCCCATTTAAATAAATGTTTCTGAGAACAGTACATTTTTGTTTAAGGACTATTCCCTGGCTGCAGTCCAAAGACTTTAATAGGTACCATCTTTTTATCACCACTTATTAAAAAAGAAAAAATGCCCTCGTATTCCCGAATGCTTCCTAGAATAATGATTATGAATTATATTAAGAGTTCCAAATGCTGAGAATTTTGTGTTTGTGTTTTTCTATTTTTCTTAATTCTATTTCCACTGCATTGTGGTCAGAAATGTATGGAAATGCTCCTGTCTTTGGAGAAGCCTCACTCACAGTATAGACTGTCTATTATGTTCTGTGTACCAACAGAATTTGGATGTATTTAACCAACCCTGACTGGGGCAGATTAGTGTGGAGCCCCTGCTCTGTTCTGGTTTTTATCTATTTCTCTTTTTTTTCCAAGATTTTATTTATTTATTTGAGAGAGCAAGAGATCGAGCAAAAGAGTACAAATAGGGGGAGCTGCAGAGGGAGAGGGAGAAGCAGGCTCCCCGCTGAGCAGGGAGCCCGATGCAGGGCTCGATCCCAGGACCCTGGGATCATGACCTGAGTCGAAGGCAGATGCTTAACTGACTGAGCCAACCAGGTGCCCCGACCCTGCTCTATTCTTGAATGGTATGGTAAAAAAAATCTAAATTCTTACACTCACGTGTGCAGTGTCAATTTTATCTCTTAAAAAAAGGTAAATACATCATATGCCAAGGTGTGGAACACAAACAGATCAATGGGGAAGAGGCATACCTGCTTGGATGAATCACACTGGTGGATTCTACGAGGGTCATGGTATTAATAGGCAGACACATTCCATTTTTTGAAGTGCTGTTTTCAGATGTGACGACACTTACGTTGATGTATGGGCACAGCATTATTCCAAGAGTGCTCTGAGCTCAGTAAGGCATTCTGAACTGCCTTTATTAGCTTGTAACAATTAAGCAGACACATAGGGGATTTTCTGGACTATCTTTATCATGTTTAGTCTAGCTCAGAAATGGTTCTGGGTAACTGGTACAAAAAGATCAAGTCGCAGGCAGGGCAACTGGGTTATCTCGGTGAAGACATTTCTCTGTAAAGTGCTGAGGTGACTGATGATGCCCACTCGCCACCACACCAGCGCGTGTCAGGGTGGACCTGACACCGACAGAAGGGAATCTGATTAGCAAAAGTCTGGAGTTGCAAATTCCCAACTGTGTTTTCCTAAGTGGGCTATTGTCTCAAGGTGGTATGCTGCCCTACAGAGTAGCACTGAACATTACTGCAATTTTGAAATACAATTTGTAAATGTTTGGAAACTTCAGAAAGGTCGGATAACCAAAGTCCTCTCTCCTGGCAAAGAGAATCCCATGATCTCTCTCTTTGGCTCAGGTGCCATGCATCCGAGGCACCAGCTATCTGGTGTTTCCATGCCATGATTTTTCTCCTTTGTCTGTGGGTGCCAACTCCCACCCAGACTCTAACTTCAGCTCAGAACTACTCTCAGATGAATAGGACCGCAGAACTGGAAGTTTAAGACTGTCAGAAGCCTTCCATGTTCTTTGGTAAAGGTCTTCATTTTATAGGCAAGAAGACTGAAGGAAGCCCAATGCAAACAGTCAAGGACCTCAGAGGATTACTGTTGAACATTCACTGTTGGCCCAAAGTGTGGCCATTATGGTAGTTAAGGGACTTGTCCAAAGGCTCACAGCCTGGCTGTTGAGCTGTGACTGTGACCAGAGTCCCCGGGTTGAGACCTTAGTCAATATTGGGTGTGCCATTTTGCTTTCTCCACTTCCTGCTCTTAGCCCGTCTTCTGAAAAGATCCATTTCAAAGCAGTGATTTTATTCTGAAAAGGTAGAAGGGAACCAAGCAAAGACAGAAATGGGGGGGGGTGTATGGATCCAGAAATAAGCCAATAAATATTGTTTTAAGAAAATGAGCATAAAATGCAAATGGACCTCCAGAGGTCAAAAACTATGCCCTGAGTTGGTACAGCTCAGGTATCCTGTGCATCTGACACCTACATACTCTTCAGGACTAGCTCTTCTCATTGAGTTATCTTGCCATGTGCTTGATAAATAAAGACAAGATAAATAAAACAAGCAGCCTACTCTTGAGATACTCATCACCTAATAAGAAGACACAGACAAGTGAATAAAGCAGAATTCAGCCTGGTAAGCACCATGCAAATATTTATGCAGTGGAGAAAACTGCGAAGGACAGAATAGATGTTCTTATATTCTCCTGGGGGCAGTGAGGCAACAGTGTGTACAGAACATGCCAGAGAAAATGCTGTTACCTGCTGCCTGGGTTGCTCTGGACAGAGGTAAAGACAGCGTTCCTGCTCTCTGGGGCTAGGGTGCATCTAGGTCAGTTTGGAAGCCCAGCAAGTAACTGGGCCATGGGCCTGGGGTTCTAGAACCAACTTCAGGTAATGTCAAGGGAACGAAGGCGGCATCACAGAGCAGACGGGGCATTCTGAGGCTTCCACATGGAATAAGTACTTTGCAAGGAGGTGAACCAAGGACACTCACTCCAATTAAGGGAGCAGTAAGAGCCTGTTCCTTCTGCAGAAATTTCCTAACAGAGTTTCCCTTTGCTTACCTACTGGAGCTAAACATCCCAGGTGTCTGAATTAGCCTGCAAGTAGCCTTCACGTTCCCCCCCACCCCACCCCCAAAGCTTAGAACCGGAGGCACTGATCCTGATTACTTAGAGCAGGAGAGAAGAGATGGGCTGCTCAGGCGGCCGCAGCCCCGCCCGTGGGGATGGCCGCGAACACGGAACTCCATGGCCCAGGCGCATGGGGGGATTCTCGAACAGGGAGGGCCCTACTAAAATGGTCCTGTCTCCCTTGTCAGTTCTGCCAGCCACCCCAGGAGCAGCTGTAATCCTAGAAGGACAGCACCAGCAAATGGCCAGTCATAACCCTGGGTCATGCGTTGCCCCCGTACCCACAGGTACAACAGTCCTGAGGATGCAGGTGAAGCACCTTCCTTGTCTGGGTCTGCCTTGACCCGTGAGCTGGGAAAAAGGTATTTCCTACAGAGCAGCTTCAACCTTCTAAAATTCACATCGGTGCGGCAGCTGGAGGGGCCCTCAGAGATGGGTGTGCCCAGCTACCCTCAGTGACCACACTGTTGGGAGGAGGAAGCCGAGGCCCAGACAGGGAGAGCCAGGGGCTCGGGTCGGGCAGATCATGCTGCATCTGTGTTTATGCCAAGCCACCAGATCCCTCTTGTGTGTGCCGGCCCCGCCAAACCAGGCCCTCTGAAGGCCCTTCCCTTCTAGTTCCCCTCATCATACTCAGAGGAAAGAGATGATTTGTGTCCTGCATATTCACTTCTACATGCCAGGTAAGAACACAGAGGTCAAAGAGGAAAAGTGACTTGTCCCAGGTCACAGCTGGTGCCTGATCTGGAATTCAGGTTTGGGGTCCTCTGCCCAGTGCTCATTTCATGAAATGGCACCGTCTCCCTAAGGAAATGTATTTAGTCACAGCTCAAGCCTTCCCCTGCTAGTTTTCAGCCACAAAGATGTGCCAAGTATCCCAAATCATAACTCAGACCATCCCAAATACAGCCATGTTCCCTACGTTGCCGTCCCAGGCCCTGGAGGCTGCGAGTCTTTACCTTCAAATGCCCGCGCCGCGTCCACGAGGTGGGACCAATCTAAGCCCGTGGCCGTGTCCGGGAGGGGCATCAGGCCAGGATCTGCACACTTGGACTTATCCGATAAGGACCCGTCGGAGAACCAGAACTCATCTAAACAGAAACAAAGCCAGAGCGTCAGTCAGATGGCAATGCGGGCGCGGGCGGCCCCTCCAAGGAGCTGGGGAACTTCGTACAGCAGATCTCTGGCCCCCAGTGAAAAGGGTGACAGTACAGTGCAATCATCCAAAAGACACACAGCTGGAAAGATGGTTTGCAGAGAATCCATGACCTACAGACTCATTTCAAGGTCAGCCAGCGACGCCCTGGGATGGAAGGGATTTTAGAACGGAGCAGTTTGATGGTGCAGTATTGAAATCTGGCAGCTTCCTCCCAGGCCGGATTTCCCTGGAGGACATCCATCCATGTCTGACTAGCTGCAGGATTGATTCCTGTTTTCTGCAGGATTACTTCCCCCTTTCAAGTGTTGCAAACTTCTAGTGTACACACGGTTTGGTACAATCTTTCTCTAGCCTGATGGTTTAAAAAGCTTCCAGGAGAAGGCAGTTATGTAAGCTGAGCACCACATGTTCAAGATGCCCCAAATATCAGTTTATTATAAAAATGCAGGAGGACTAACTTTGCTTTCATTATCGACGGGCAAGAAAGAGAAGAGGCGGTCTTTCCTCATGCTAGGCACAAATAGGGGGGTTAGACTGCTTTGCTGACTTACTGAGCTGGTTTATCATTGGCTAAACCAGAAACCCCTCGCCGTCCAGCATGGAATTTTGTCTGTCCTTTGTACAAATGGACCTTTTAGGGACTGGAAGTGTTTATGTCAGTGATAAAACTAGTTGTTAGAACTCACTACGCATCTGAGGACAAATTTTTCAAAGGCTTCACCCAGACTGTCTCTGACATGTCTTTTCTGAAGCTGCCCCATACATGGCATGCAGCTGCCTGTGAACACATCTGCCTAATGAGACCAATCAAAATAATGACCACCTGGCTGTCTGAGCCTGCAATTAATTTAAGTAAGGGGCATAATTAACCCAATGCACCTGTAATTTTTGTTCCCACACCCTTTGGGGAAGCTATGAAAGGCTGGCATCTGGACGGAGAGTGAGCGGTGGTGTTTGACCTTGACCTTGACCTTTAAGGGCACTAACGGTCTTCCACCTGCTTGACACCTTCACAGGCAGCTCTCAGCCACCTTCCCCAAGCCCCATCGGAGTACTGACAGTCCTGGGATGCTTTGACGATTCCTGAGCAGCCTGAAATTCCATGATCTGTGGCCATCTGTCATTGAGCCAAGGCACACATCTGATTCTGGTGGCCAGGAAGCCAAAGCCCAGAGTGAGCGAGTGAGTGAGTACACCCAGCTATTCACCCAGCAGGCAGGTCAACCACTCTGCTTTCTGCTGCCCTGTATGCAAGTCTCGTGGAGACCACTTGCAAAGCACATGATGACTCCGGATCTAGGAAGGTCTCAGGGCATGAAGTTTCACAACCAGAGGCATGCCCAGGGTATGCTAACTCCCTCCAGCTTGTACAGAGAGGCAGAGAGCAAAAGGAGGGAAATACAGTTAGTGGTCTTTCTTTCTTTTTTTTTTTTTAAGATTTTTATCTATTTGTCAGAGAGAGGGAGAGACAGGCAGAGCAGGAAGTAGACTCCCTGCAGAGCTGGGAGCCCGATGCGGGACTCAATCCCAGGACCCTGGGATCATGACCTGAGCCAAAGGCAGATGCTTAACGACTGAGCCACCCAGGCGCCCCTGTCTTTCTTCATTACAAACTAATATCCCCTTTTCCCCGGTTTGTGAACGGGACTTTTGTGTTTATTGGAGACTATGGAACTGGCAAAGATGATCAGTAGATTAGAAGAAGTCTCCTTTCCCCCAGGGTTTACTTGGAGCGTACCCACTGACCTGTCTGTGATGTATTTACTAAGTGACTACCATATGCCTCACATTGTGTTCATTGTGTTCGGGACAGTGGTGGATAAGGCAGAAAGGCCCATCCTCTCTGGAACCTTGCAAGAGATGCGGGGGAAAAGACAATAAACAAATAAACAAGGTAATATGAGTAGTGACAAGTCTTTCAAAGAAAACAAAATGCGGGATGGGACTGAGGAGCCTGAGGGCATGTTGGGGGCGGGCCTATCTTAGGAGGTGGCATCCCGGAGACACCAATGATGATAAGGAGCTGCGTGATGAAGAACACAGTTCTGCTAGAAAAGCTCTAGGGATTTAAATCAAAATCCATCATTTGTCACTGAGCAGGAAGATTTTGTGTCAATGACAGTCCCCTGAAATGATGTAAGAGCACCTAAATTCTCCTCTGAATTATCATGATGAAAATCACCTCAATTTCTTTACAGTTGTTTGGAAAATTATATAATTGGCCAAAAAAAAAAAATTACTTTTTTTTGGTCTGAGACTCCAAACCACCACAAATCCTTTATAATACTTTTAATGGACGTTAGGTATCAACGCTGCCATCACCTAGACGATGCTTACTGAGCATCTTCTACATTCCAAGGACCACTGGGTATTATGTTAGCCTCCAGGGATAGGATGACTGGGAAGAGCCAGGCTGGGCCCTTGAGAAGCCCAGTGAGCAAGCAGATAAGCCTTGCTGGGGTTGCTGGGGCTGGTTGCGGGGGTCTGGTATGGTGCAGGCAAGTGAGCCACTCCCACCGCTGGTACACACCACGGCAGCTCTAAGTGGCTAGCTTCCTGAGTTTTGCAGAGGAGGAAGGAAAAGTACCACTTGTCTTAGGTATCAAAGCCTGTTACTTCAAATCCAGCTCTTCAGAGCTAGCGTTCCATCAGGAGCACACACTGTTCTTTTGGCCAATTCAAAAAAGAAAAGTGGCTTGTGGATTCCCAGGGATGGCTCATGTCCAGACAGCGATGCCCGGGCCCTTGCTCTCCAGCCCGGACATTGATCTTATGGCTTCCTGTTTATCTGCGACCGGAAACGGCTCCCTATCTCTACCGAGTCCGACTTTATTTGTTGTTAAAAATGCTGAGGAACCTTCCTGACGGTCAGATAGCTAGGGTTTGGCAATTCCTCTCCGAAAACCAGGGAAGACTGAGAACATTTGAAAAAAGAGAAACAAGTGCCCTATGGAATCAGTCAAACCCTGCCCTGCTGCTGAGGGTCCATGGATGCCTTCTGTAATGCCAACTGTAACAACGGTCATCTTCTGCCTATTAGCAGCGCTTACCACCTACGGCCCACATGCTGAGCCTCTCCTGGAGTCTGCAGCAACTTGCATGAATACTGAATTATAAGGAAAATACTCATTTTATTTATTCTAAACTCTCCCTCTATTTAAGCTTCAAGGGGCATCCTATGGGAGGTGCCATGGTCAAAACTACAGGATTTGGAAACACACATAAGTTGATGCTCTGTTCTTATCTTTTGAAATTTAAGAACTCTTTTGAGTCTATGCTCATAGGAAGATTTCTACCATTCCTTGGAGAGCTTTGATCGCCATAAAAAACCAGAAATTCTCACAAAGATCCCAAATAGGCAAAGCAACCTTGAGAGAGAAAAGCAAAGCTGGAGGTTTCACAATTCCAGATTTCAAATTCTATTACAAGCTGTACTAATCAAAACAGTACAGTACTGGCACAAAAACAGACACATACATCAATAGAATAGAATAGAAAGCCTAGAAATAAGTCCAAAACTATATGGTCAGTTAATCTGACAAAGGAGGCATGAATATGCAATGGGAAAGAGACAGTTTCTTCAACAAATGATGCTGGGAAAACTGGACAACCACATGCAAAAGAATGAAACTGGACCACTTTCTTCCACTAAACACAAAAATAAATGCAAAATGGATTAAGGGCTTAAATATGAAACCTAAAACCATTATAATCCTAGAGGAGAGCACAGGCAGTAATTTCTCTGACATCAGCCACAGCAACTTCTTTCTAGATATGTCTTCTGAGGCAAGGGAAACAAAAGCAAAAATAAACTATTGGGACTCCATCAAAATAAAAAGCTTCTGCAAAGCAGGGGAAAAATCAACAAAACTAAAAGACAACCTACTGAATGGAAGAAGATATTTGCAAATGGCATATCTGATAAAGGACTAGTATCCAAAATATATAAAGAGTTATAAGGTTATAACTCTGTATATATCTGTATATAAAGTTATACAACTCAACATCAAAAAAACAAACAATCCAATTTAAAAATGGACAGAAGACATGAACAGACATTTCTCCAAAGATGGCATACAGATGGCCAACAGACACATGAAAAGATGCTCAACATCACTCATCATCAGGGACATGCAAATCAAAACCACAATGAGATATCACCTCATACCTGTCAGAATGGATAAAATAAAAAACACAAGGAACAGCAAGTGCTGACAAGGATGTGCAGGAAAAGAAACCCTCATGCATTATTGGTGGGAATGCAAACTGGGGCAGCCACTGTGGAAAACAGTATGGAGGGTCCTCAAAAAAATTAGAAATAGAACCTCCATATCATCCAGGAATTGCACTATTGGATATTTACACAAAGAATATGAAAACACTAATTCGAAGGGATACGTGCACCCCTATGTTTATAGCAGCATTATTTACAATAGCCAAACTATGGAAGCAGCCCAAGTGTCCACTGATAGATGAAAGAATAAAGAAGATGTGGTATGTATGTGTGTGTACACACACACACACACACACAGACACTGGAATATTATTTGACCATAAAGAAGGATGAAAACTTGCCATTTGCAACGACATGGATGGAGCTAGAGAGTATAATGTTAAGCGAAACAAGTCCGAGAAAGACATATACAATATGATTTCACTCATATGTGGAATTTAAGAAATATTATGAACAAAGGAAAAAAAAAGACAAACTGAAAAACAGACTCTTAACTATAGAGAACAAACTGATGGTCACCAGAGGGGAGGGGGCTGGGAGGATGGGGGAAATAGGTGATGGGTTTTAAGGTGAGCACTGAGTAATGTACAGAATTGTTTAATCACTGTATTGTTTGCCTGAAACTAATACAACATTGTATGTTAACTATACTGGAATCGAAATAAAAGAAAAAGAAAAACAATTAAAAAAAGGAAAAATAAGGGGAACAGCAACAGTTTTCGCAGGGGAACACGAAGGATGTGAGCCTTCTTAGTAGGCAGTAATATTTACATAAAGAGGGCCTTCAGAGTATCCTCTTGAAGGTTCCCTTCCCATTTCAAATATTGTTTAATCTTGAAGATGGGTTTTTTAATCAACCTGTGGCAGTTCTGTTCAGGATATAGTCTCTTATGACGTTTTGCGGATCTAAGAGTATTGGTATGTCTTGTTATTGTCTTAAAATTACATTCATAGCCTTCTTTGTAAAAAAGTATTTAAAATGGCAGAATTTTTATAATAAACATTTACGAAGAAAAAAATTAAAAATAAATTAAAAGAAAATCAGGAATTCTCTTTAAACATGTTGGGAACCTGCCAGTGCTCAGCACTGCACTGAATAAAGCCAGGTGCCCAACTGGTCAAGGAGGAAAAAGATACTGGGAAAGCTTTTCAATATCACTGGTTCTCTGGCCTGTGAACTGTGTGTCCAAAGGGCCACTCCCCATTTTTTTCTATCTGGGCCACTGAAGAAATTTTGTTCTGAAATCCACTCGTAAGGAAAACAAAGGCCCTAACTGCAATGCCGAAACATTTCGGAATTATTTTCAGTTGCTTGATCAGGTCATAGTTTCATACCTCCAAGTTGAAGACACAATGATACAGCACATTTCAGTGACTTCACAGGAAATATACATGAATCATGGCATGAATCACATCCAAAATGTGTTTGTGAAGTACCTGCCTCACCAGGTTGAATTAAGATCTCGGTCTCTAGGGAAGAAAGATTCAGAGACAGGTTCAAATTTGGGACATTTACCAGCTAAAAATATCTGAGCGAGAAGCCTGTGATTATTGTTACAGATACCCGTAGAAAAGCTGCAGCGATATTCGCTGTCAGGAGACGAAGCTGCCGACCCTTGCTCTGCACTATACTTCCTCCAAATTAGGAACGGGTCTCTACTAGGGATTCTCTGAGGATCCCATGCTAGGAATGCTCGAGGTTTAAAGCTTCACATGTATGCTGAGTTTCTGCCTAGCTCTTCCTATGTGGCTCCTTGGCCATCCAGTGCTCAAAGCTGGACAGAACTGACCTCCCCTCCAAGCTTTCACATGAGGCTAAGTCTCTGAGAAACTAAGAGAAACAACTGGACGACCTCAGGCAGTCCTCGTTTCTCGCACACTAGACATCTGTTGTCCCAGTTTCGAATATACTCCAAGAGCAGGATCTTCTCACCGCTGCTCTGCTGAGTGACCTGAAACCATAGAAAGGGAAGGATGACTAAAGTCTGTGGAGGCAATAAAAAGTAAGGACCACACCAGGTGAGAGCAGGAGTCAGACCCGTCAATGCAAATTACGGCCCACTCCCTTGTTTACATTTTGTCATTTGACCCGTTGAACCAAGAGAATTTTTTCTGAGGAGCTGTTACAGTAAATTGGAGAAGTCTCATTGACGGATGAGGTTTCATTCAAGAGCAAATGGCAAGGACCGCTCTTACTGCTTTTCCTAGAGAAACAGACAATGAGGACAAGCTAAGGCAGCTTTGAACTTGGAAAGTGAATAAGTAACGTATCCTGCCTGTCTCCTACTTGTGCGTTTACGCTTTGAAAATACTAAGAAAGGATGCAGTCCTTCAGTCGGTGGATGGATAAGTAAACTGTGGTACATCCAGACAACGGAGTATTATTCAGCACTAAAGATTAGAAGTAAGCTTTCAAGCCATGAAAAGCCATGGAGATAAGAGCCAGCCTGGAAAGACTACATACTGCAGGATTCCAACTATATAACATTCTGGAAAAGGCAAAACAAGGGAGACAATAAAAGGATCAGTGGTTGCCAGGGGTCTGGGGGAGGGAGGGATCAACAAAGCACAGAGGATTTTTAGGTGAAACGAAATTATTCTGTATGATACTGTAATGGTGGGTACATGTCATTTTACTTTGTCCAGACCCTCAGAATGCAGAGCACCAAGAGTGAATCCTAATGTAAACTATGAGCTCTGAGTGATGATAATGTATCAGTGTGGGTTTGCGGATTCTAGCAAATGTATCCTGCTGAGGGATGTTGAACGGGAGGGAGCCCGTGCCTGTGTGGGGGACAGGGGGGGTATGGGAACTCCCTGAGGCTCCTGCTAAATTTGGCTGTGAACCTAAAACTACTCTAAAAAAAAAATTCATTAAAAAAAAATAAAGCTAAAAAAAAAAAAGTAAAGCTAAAAAAAAGGATATGTATCTTTCATATGGAAGCAAGTAAAGGGTAGGATGGAAGAATTACATCAACACACAGGCCATGGATGATTTCATGACCACACATCAAGCATTTTAAATAAAAGAAATTACGTATGCAAGAAAATAGTTTCACTGATTTTATGAAGGCTTTCAAGAGGACATTAAAGTTATCTATTTACAAAAAAGGAAAAACATTTAGAGAATTATTAGGTTATTAGAATGTATCTGACCTTTCATATGGTTATCAAGAGGAGTTTAAAGGTTTCTTCAATTCAGGCAAATGTAATCGTTATAATAGGTAGGCTATTATGTTACTTAAAGAAATAGATTAAGAATTTTATGAGACAAAGTTCATTTCCAATTAGGTTACACATCAGAAGAAGCATTATTAGAACTTTTATTTCATTTAGCCTGAGACTTCTATGTGTATGATGGGAAGTTTAAATTGGTTCTAAAGATAATGCTTTTTATGATGAAACAAGAAAAAAAACCCTGATAGTGAATATATTTCTGATTAAATCCTCATTCTTTCTGTACAATAGAAATTAAACTCTGAGAAAAAGAAAATAAAGCTAGTGTAAAAAAAATGATCACCCTTAAACTCTGACACATTAATAAGAAACGGACACTACATAAATATCAAAGATTTCAGGGTGTGAAGGAAAATTATGCAGAAATTGCCTCATCAATCTGTGAGCAGTAAATGGGAGGAAACCAGATGCAGAGAGCTGAGGGATGAGCTTGAGGACATGCAGCCGCCCGTGGGGAGAGCCCGGTTAAGGACCCGGGTCTCCTGACGCCCGTATACCACCTTGACGGCCACTGGGTACGTAATGTCAAGAAGAAACAGAAATAGAAGGCTACCCACCAGAGTATCTACCTCCTGTACCATAGGTTCTTCTTTTTAAAATCAGGTCTTAACATATTTTTTATGAGTTTAATAGCTAAGATATTTACCTATACACACACACACACACATACACACACACACAGGTATCTATACATATATATGACCACTACTTGATAAAAACGTTTAATATGAGGTTTTCAGTTTTCTTCAAAATTGGTAGTATTGCTTAACATTTTTTTAAAGATTTTATTTGTTTGAGAAAGAGAACAAGTGGGGGAAGGGAGAGGCAGAGGAAGAGGGAGAAGCAGGCTCCCCAGTGAGTAGGGAGCCTTATGACGTGACCTGAAGGCAGATGCTTAACCAACTGAGCCACCCAGGCGCCCCCGGTATTGCTTAACTTTTAGAAAATGTCCACTCTGGTGCTTTTTATCATATTTAAAAATAATAATAATAAAAAAAGAAGACACCAAATAATACATTTATTTTAAAAAATAAACCAAACCCCCCAAACCTCTGTAGGAGATGACCTGAAGAGCCCACACCCACAGAAGCTCAGCAACCCGCCCCCCCCCCAACCCTGCACTTACTTCTCAGGTTCCCCATGCTGGGCGCAGGGTGGGTCCGGGGGGGCAGCGTGCTATGGTAGGGTGGGGTGGTGCTGAACAGAATGTCGTTGGGCAGGGCCTGGTCAAGTACTGAACTTCGCGAACTGCCGAAGGAAGACCCCCTCCGATTGCTGCATATGCTCTCATCCGAGAGGGTGCGGTACAGTGATCGTCGCGGAGACAGGTTCCCATAGAACGAAAACTAGGGGTTTAAATGTAAGGGGAGAAGGGGGAAGACAGACATGAAAGAGTTGAAAGCACAGAACTGACTGGAATAAATCCGGGGGGTACACATACCCCTCGCTCACCCTGCTCTCTGGGTTCTCCCTAGGCAGACAGGCAGGCACAGAGCATTAGCTCGGGAATGCTAAACCAGGCGTGTGGGTCATCTAAGCACATGCACCAGGTCCCTGGTGCAGTTATTGGATTTGAATGTTTTCTTCCTTTGACATTCTGTGAAATATGATCATGAGTTAGACATGCGTGGCTTTATTAATTCTGAAATGTTAAATGGAACCTCCATAACCTCAGAGCAGTGCTCCTGCAAATGCAGAAGGTTGCAATTTCTGGCACAGTTATCCAAAAGCACACATAGCGCTGGCTTGATTTTAATTTGAAATGACTATGTTTTCAGATTAGGCAATTTCTGTACCAATCAACTGCATGGGAGGTTCAGGCTCATCTAAATAATAATAAAACTAATTCTGAACACGGTAGCTTTCTAGGGCATGCAAACAGGTTCAAGAAAAATACTATCAGTCCAGGAAAATCTTCTTGTCTACTTAAAAGTCATCAGCCACAAAAGTCCATTACGATTGTTGAAAATGGAGCTATAGAAACTGATCATAACCGGATTTAAGGGAACCACTGAAATGATTGTGTGTTAGCTCCCAGACAGGGTGAGGAAAATTCTTACTCAAGAAGCAAGTGGTCCAATACTCAAGAAAAATGAAATCAAATCTGACTTTCCAACTTTTTCTTCTGCATACTGAACCACATTCCTTTTATATAAACAACAGTAAAAGCCAGAATGTTTGCATCAAACAAATACAGAAGTGGCTATTTACATTTGTGAGTGCAGCAAGGAGGCTAAAAATATTTCTATTGTATGTGTTCCTTCCATTCTGTCAGGCCTGTCCAACTGATGAATGGTAACTGGAATGTGTGCAGACTACAAAGTAAAATTTCCACTATGAAAAGAAGGTGATTTGTCTTTGGGGGGGGGGGGGAGACCCACATGCCAAGGAGAAGTTCATTCCTATAAAAAGAAAAGCTATTTGCACTTTTTGTATAACGGTCTGCACCCAACCTTATACAGTACAACATACACGACTGGATACAAGTTTAGAAAAAAAAAAAGGGAATCAATATGATTGACTTCTTCTGGGATTCCCTCTTCACACACACCAGCAGGTCCTTCAGAACATGATTACAGGCGCATTAGATTAAAGCGGCTTTGAGGTAGTATCTAATTAGAGTGTTATTCTAAGAACACAATTAGGTTAATTGCAGTATTGTTTTATTATACGGAAGACAGAAGCACACAGACTCGCTGTTTACCCTGATCACAGTCAACATGGCAATGCCTGATTTTTTTTTTTTTCTTTTCATTTGAACAAGCGTGAGCTCCGGATTAGAAGGGAAAATATCCAGATTCCCTGTCCTCTCTCTCCATGCTGGAAAGCTGCCCTTCCTAACCTCTCCCAGGCTCGCTCTGCTAACCGATACAACAAACCCTGAAGAGGGTCAGCCACGCACAGACTAACAGGTAGAATCACGAGAGAATGCTTGCGGGTGGGTGGGGATTCCTGAAACTTCTGAGTCTCTTTAGACCCTTCTTGAGTATTTCTGGTAACTTCAAAGCCTCCCGGAAGTCGCTAACCTTCCTTCGCCCCTCCTCCACTAAGGGACTGTCCGGAAGCATCAGTTTCAGGAAGTCTTCTTTGGACAGCACGTGTTGAGTTTCTGAAGCAGCATCCCCCACCACGGTCTGCTGAGCTGCTGCCGACAAGAGATCCATCTCGCCATACAGCCTGTGGAACAAACCAGAGGGGAAATTAAGAGCAGGGGTCAGGCTCTCTGTCAAGTGCCTGTAGCCTGAAGGATTGAAATCCGCTGTTTCGACCACCGAATACTCATGCGCATGATGCTTAATTATTAAGTCAGTTCACCGTTGCTGCATCTGCGCCAGACCCCCACGTCATTTTACATCTTTGAAAGGAGCTCAACTGCAAAGTTAGAGTTCTGAATAATTCAGAAAGAGATCAGATCCCCGAAGCCCTGGATGGGAAAAAATAGAGCCCCCCCCTTTTTTTTAAGGCCCATGTCAGAAAACACATTTTCAATAATTCATCAGAGATTATCATATGTCCTTTGCAGGCACGCTTCCTTGTGTTTCTTAGAAACTCGAGAGAGGCTTTCTCTTGTGGCTAGACAGCCACACACCCCCCCACATCTCACTTGGGCGACATGGGGAGAGGCACCCGAGGGAGCCTGAAGTTTAAGAGTAATCGATTCAGGCGTGTGCCAAGCATGTTTTATTATCAGCAATTCCGCAAAGCCGTTTGGATAAGGAAAGCAGCTGTCTCCCTTAATTATCAGGATATAAAAATGTATTTACGGACAACAAAAGACTGTCTCGCAGAATTACTGTTTTCAGCTCTTTTCCAGGGAGAAAACCAGGGAGTCATCTTTGAAAGGTTTACTCTGGAAATGCAATCTGAGCAACCAACATTCCTGAGGACACAGTGAATCATCAGTGGCTGTACCGGGGGCAGAGGTGAGCGGTCCTTGCCGCACGACCTACAAGGTCATGTTCCAGGAATCCGTGGCCCAGGGCAGCAGGCTGCAGAGGATGACCTGGGTGTTACTGTCACGTGTTACTGAGATGACTCTATTTCAAAAGCAAGGCTATCGTGTCACAGGGCAACAGCTCACTGGGAAATTACCAGAGTAAGAAACTCACACAGACATGCTCAAAATTAACAATGGTTATCTGGAAGTCTCTGTGGCTTTTGCTTTGTTTCTGAGGTGGGTCAGGTTCAATCAGTGAAGGTTCCACAATATGATTTTAAAGGGATAACTGGAAACTTGTGGAGGGCATAACCGATTTTCTATTTTATGTACAATGAAATGGTAATATTCTGTAGTCCTCTGTGGCACAAACACTATATACTTGGCTAATCCTTTTCCAAGCATCTTTCAGTGATCTGGTGGAACACTGTTTTTGCAGTCTGCAGGTGTTAGAGATTCATCACTTCCACATTAAATGGAGTGTTTCCTTGTTTTAGGAGCCCTTGACTTAGCTGGACGAGGCCGGGGGTGCCTGTTGCCCCCACAGGATGGGTACGGCCCACCACACAGAGGGCTGGCCCGAGCACTGACCTCATGTGATGTTCTGCTACCCACATCCGCAAACCCCTTCCTCACAATGCCCCTGAAGTTGCCTTTCTTTGACTGAAGGTCAGTGCCATCAAACCTGTGTGTTAAAATACACAAACTCTGGGGGGCTCTGGAGAGAAGAACATCCACATGGGCACCTGTCGCCCTTTCCTGACTCTCCGAGAGAGCCCTCCGCTCCAACAGTGCTTCCATACAGAACTTAAAAGGCTTGGGATGCATTTCTGGGAAGCACTCAGAAGACGTATCAAAGAGGCAGAAATACCAACGTTATCATCAGGAATTTGCATTTATGGTCCAAAAGGGTGGTCATCACTATGAAATTCCTTTCTAAATAACTCATCTGCAATTATTCACATGATGGTTCTTTTTTTTTTTAACAAGAAGATTCCATTTTTAGTTTCGGCACTAAAACGGTTTTTTAATTGAGAAAGCAGTATCAGGCTCTCCCTATTTAAGAAGTGGGATCATGTTTTAAGGAAAAAAGTGATACTAATTTACCAACCAAGCTTAAGATCTAGAAGAGCTCTCTGAAAAATCACTGTAGCCCCCAGTGCACCCTCCACGCGTGCTGGTGTTGACGGTACCTGTGGACACAGCCGAACACGGGGACCTCATAATTTGGTGCATGGGAGGTTTTTGTTTTTGTTTTTTTTCTTAAGGCTGTCCTTTTAAAAATAAGCAAACGAATAGCGAAATGCATTTGACTGCCCTTGCTTTGTATCCTTGAAATGTGATTTCTTTACCTGTCTCTTCAAAGAGACAGTAGCAGTTTCCACATGTCCTATCAAAGAGATTATCGGTGCTTTTTTTCTTTTTTCAAACAGGTACATAACATCCCTCCCTACCTGTCTCCATAAAACCTAACAACTGAAAGGGAAACCAAAGTCATGTTAAAATTAGGTAGAGTACTTTTCCTTTGATGATGTCACTTACACACCAAATTTAAGAAACACACTCACGGACTCTGTGGGAATCAAATTGTCCTTGAACTTGTTTATTTACAGGCTCTATGGCTGCACCGTCAATAGCACATTACCGTGACTTTTCTATTGCAGGCAGCTTTTTGGAAATAAGAATAAAGAACAGGGATTTCTTTTGATTTTAGATGCAAACGTCAAAGAAAGAGAAGACTTTCAAAGAGAAAGATAAATGCTAACATTTCAGAAGTTTTACAGAGATGTTTCTAGATTACTCCTTTTTAGAAAATCTATTTCTGTCAGGGGGAAAAATACACGTGCTTAGTCAATCCCCACAGTGTGTAAGGTTGCCTAGAGATGAGCCGCCGGCTGCCTTACCCCTGACACTCAGTCACTTCGGGCTCCTCAGGTGGTGGGCTGCCCTCCGATTTCTTCCAGCCGATGACGTACTTGCTCACTGACCCTTGCCTGTGGTAGGGCTTGGACACGGACCCAGGGACCTGCTGGGCACTGCTGTGAGACACGATGTAGACTTTGGATGTATCCAGAGACCCACTATTTTTGGAACAGTGAGCTGAGGGGCTTCCTGAATGGTGTGAACCACTGAGGAGAAAAACAGACAAAGACTGTCACAGAACCAGATTCCGGCAGTGCTGGCATGCCTCCAGATTCAGAGCCACCGTGCGTTGCCCCTGGGAATGAGGCAGACCCAGCTGTCCTTCCTCCATGGGCCTTGATAGAATGCCTGATTTTCCACGGGCTGAGGACGTTCTTGTGCAAGGCGTACCCCTGTGGCTGGAAGGATGTTAAAGACAATCAGGGGAAAATCAGAAACACAAGCAACGTACTTAAACTGATGCTTCAAAAGACAGGAAACCCAAAAGAAGGTGCTCGAGCTAAGCTGCTGCCAGGAAAATGCCAATGTAAATCACGACAGAGTATCGCGGCGCACTCAGCACACGCGCAAACATGGGAGTGTGTGACCGTGAGTGTCCAGTGTTGGCTGGCCCGGGGAGCCATGGGTGCCCTCCCGCTGCTGGTAGGAGGGAAAAGTGTGTCAGACAGTTTGGAAGGCAGTCTGGACATGACCTGCGAAGGTGTGCACTGCACGGCGTATGACCCAGCAATTCCGCTCCTCAGTGGACACCAGAGAGACCCCTGCACAGATGCAATTGGAAACAGGTAACAGTGTGACAGGAGGACTGATCTTAATAGGTCCCCAACGGTGCAACCTGAATCATCAGTAGCGAAATGGACAGTCAATCAATAAGCGAGAATGGGTAAAGGGAATATGCCATGAATAAATGAGCTGAGCACACAAACAACTCGGCTGAGCTTCACAGACGTCATGCAGAAAAAGAAGCAAGTCACAAAGAATACGTCAAGTGTGATTCCATTTTTAAAAGAAGTTTATAAACAGGCAAAATAGCGTTCAGAAACATACATATTCGGCTAGTAAAACAATGAGGAGATGCAATGGAAGGACGATCAGGAAAGCGAGTTAGTGGCTACTGAGCAAGAAGGGAAGGGGCTGTGGGTGGGTAGGACATGGGGACCTTCTGACACAGAAATGCCAATTCCGTATCTGGTGGCTGTGTGTATGTTTGCTGTATGACCACACGTAGATAGAACAGGCACAAAATAAAATTTAAATGATGCAAGCCCTAAAACAAACGAACAGAATTTTTTAAAGTCAGTGTTTAACCTAAGGCCAGAAGGACGCCCCACTGACTGTACAACCGTCTCTTGAAATATAAAAGCCTAAAGACCTTTTTTTAATTCAGGAAGATTGGCAATATAACGGTTTATGAAAAATGAGTAAGAATAGAGATCAGGGGATTACTCTATAAACATGAAAACATTTAAATTTTTAAATTATGGTAGGCCTCCTGGTAGCATGAAATATAACCTTATTCTGAAACCCCTGATAAGCACCCACGTTTCTAAAAAAACCTACATAATCAAGCAAGTATCATATGATGCAGGCAGTAAAGAAGAGAAGTCCAAAATTAAGAATGGTTATTAAAATGGACTTGTTACAAACATTCAAAAGGAAGTAGGGTAACAAAATAAACCAACTCATTTTTGACGGTTTACAGAGCTGGAGACACTGTGGTAATAGGAAAAATTAAAAAACAAATAAAACAAAACAAATAAAACATCTCATTTACTACTAATGAAGTAACTCAGCTGCTGGTGGTAGGTCTGGCGTTCCTGCGTGGGACTCAAAGCAACTTCAGTCTGGGCTCTAGACCGTGGACTCTGGGGGGAGATGTTTTCCTGCCTTCCCAGCCCCAAGCTACCCAAGGAAGAAGCAAGGACTAAGGAAGGGAGCTAATGAACTCTTTTCATTTGCTGGGGTACCCACCTGGGAGTCACCTCCCAAAATGAAAGCTCCACATCCAGGCAATGGGGTCTAAAGGCCTTTATATTTTCCCCTTAAGCTGCTTATTTTGAAAAACTTCAGATCTGGGGTAAGGTATAAAAATAGTAGAAAAACGCCCATCTATCCTTCATCTACAGCCACTAACTGTTAATATCTTGCTACATCTGCGTTATTCCTCTGTGCATATATTTCTCCCTGAACCATCTGAGAATTAGTTGCACTCCTGCGTTTCAGCACAAAGACCCTAAAAATAAGAAGGACATTCTCCCACGTGGTAACAACATGATTATCACACCCAGGATATCACACATTAATGCAGAGCTATCACCTAATACATAGTCTAAATTCTAACTTCCCAACTGTTCCCAATAATGCTTATGGTAATGATTTCCCCATTCAGAGCCCAGTGAAGGACCGTGCGTTGCCTTTAGCCACCACAAGCATCACATACCTTGAAGCCTTTGATTATCCCTGAGATGTTTTATAGTTAAAGTCTTAGGGTTCTCCAAGTCTGGGACAGTTAACATGCTGTGTAAGCCACTCATATGTCCCGCTGAAATGACCAAAATGAACACCTTTTGAGAATGTCTGATGAATAATGATAGCAGGGTCAGAAACTGTTATGTGCTTTTCTACTCAGTTTACAAAAGTTATTTTGCTAATTCAGACTTGATTAAAACTGTCTTTTACCCCAAGAGTAAAATATTTAACCTTAAACTCTAAGAAGATCTTGGGGTCGTGGGTTTGAGCCCCACTCTGGGTACAGAGATTACTAAAGAAAATAAACTTTTAAAAAAAATTTTTTTAAATTTTATTATGTTAGTCACCATACAATACCTCATTAGTTTTTGATGTGGTGATAAATTTTTAAACTCCAAGAACAAATTTACTGAATCAATTTGATGAGCAATATGGCAAAACTCTATGCTTAGCAGCAGTAACATCATTATAAAAGTTTTCTCTGAAATGGGTAAATATTCTAGAATGTTGGGAGTAAGCTTTTTGTGAATCCTTCCCTTCTAGACTAAAGTTCTTATTTTCCAGTTTCACCTCCAACTTCCAATCACTGCTACTAAGAAAAGGGTATGAATAATGATAAACAAGAGATAATATGAGCCAATTTGCAGAAGAGTCCAGAACAGGAAATTATTATTTTCTGCAGTTGATTCATTTCACTTTGCAAAACCTTGGTCAGGTTGATACGAATCCTACTCTGTGTTCTGAGCTCTTACCTAAGTGCCCTGCCCTCGCATAAAGAAAAAAAAAGGGGGGTGCGGGGGGCTGCTGAACTAAAGGTCTGAGCAGCAGAGACAGCAGGCTGCATCCTGCTTGTCTGCTTGTCCTGCTTTCTGGATGACTCCCACGTACCCCTCCACCTGCCACAGAAGCTTGTCTTAAAGAGTTTTAAGTCCTCCGTCTCTCTCAGCCCAGTCCTGAAATCCTTCCACATATACAACTCCATGCTTGCTTTCCTCCTGGACGGCTGCTGGGGAGCAAGCGTGTGGGTGCTGGGGCTGGCGGAGCTGGCAGTACAGGAGCCAAATCTGAGTATGAAGAGCATGCCATGCACTGATCTGGGCTCCTGAAAATCAGACCTGGGAACGGCTGATGCCACGTGACTCCTACTTTTCCAGAAGAAACCCCCCAGTGGGTTTATGAACTCAGTCGGTAAGCATTTACCAAGCACTCTGCCTATATGCCCTCCCTCGTGTCCCAAGGAGTCCAAGGCCCACCATGTGCAGAGAAGCGCACTAAGTTCTGTGGATACACAATGAACAGGACAGGTCAAGTGCCTTCCAGCCTCCGGGACGCTCCGGTGAAGGGAGGTACCAGTGAGCTACAGCTGTATATGGAGAGATGCACGGAAAGCACAAACCACTTCAGCCAGGGGTGAGTGCTAACCAGAAAGTAAAACAGGGGATGGGATCCAGAGTGCGTGGGGGCCAGGGTGTGACCGCAGCCAGGACAGTCAGCCCTGGTGTCAGCCCCTACAATGAGTTCGTTCTGCTCCTTGTGCTACCTGGGCTACTCCCGGTCACAACCCAGACCCTCGGGCACTGGGCCTCAGCTCCCAGGTGACCACGCATCAGCTGGAACAGAGACAGGAGAGGAATGCAGGGGGCTGGTGATTCTGTCATCGCAGACACGCTGGCCCTTCAGGGTCTAGAGAATCTGACAGAGGCTTTCATGAGCAAAATTCCTTTTACCTCCACCTGCAGAGATTTTAAATCTTAGTGTAAATATTTTAAAGGTAAAGTATCAATATATTTAATGCTTAAAGTATTTCAAGATAAAATACTTATATTTTATACATACATAAATATAACAATCTTTAAGAATTTTAAGTATTTTAAAAACTTCAAAATATTTTAAGTTTTATTTTCTCTAGTTCTCCTGCCCAGGTCAAAGGACAGAAGGAAGTATTCAAAAGACTCAATTTAATGACTGAATTTCATACTGACCAAAAGCCTACAGCGTAAGTTGAAACGTGGCTTCAAAGTCACCATCCACTAAGAACCACAAGAAAACCCCAGCCAGGTGGTAAAGGATTCCAGTCCCTCAACATATATCATTTCCACAACAGCTGTGCACACATTCAGCTTAAAGTGGTAGAAAAAAGTAAAATCAATCAGAAATTCAATCTCCCACTTTTATATACTTTCTAATAGCCTCACCCATTAAATTAATGAATGGTTAAGGTATTCAAGAAAATCCACTTCAAATGCCTATAAATATCCCTACCTCTATTTATAAACGAATGTGCTCTCAAAGCGGCCTTCCAGAAATTTTCCTCAGTAGCGCTACAAAATTCTATTTGCGATGCCCATTCCATTTGTCCAACAAGGTCTCCTGAAGTCAGCTGTTTCACAAAACTTGCAAACTCTGAACAAGACATTAGGAGGGTATAAAATCCCAAGATGATTTCTATAGTATACCCAGTTTTCAACTGTCCTGGAAGTTGGATAGGAATAACGCAGGTAACCGAAGTCCCTGCTAATATGTCTGTGTTATACCAGTTATTTATCACTAAACATATTTTAAGTCAAATTATTAAAGAGACCTGGTCAACGGTAGTAAGAACATCTATTTTTGAAAATAATCTCCCTATCCTATGCTCCCTCTGCCCCAACAGAGTGCAGGTGGACCCTTAGGGTTCCCCTGTCTGGCAACCACTCCCCCTTTTCCTGGTGACACAATACCCTGATTTTCTTCTGGGGAAGCAGCTGTCTTCACTGCCCCTCAGCCACATGGTTCAGTGGGAGTGTGTGGGGGGCTGGGGACCGGCCCTAGCGGAGGGGGGGCACTGCCTGCCTCAGACAGCGGTGCCCCCTACCACAGCGGTAAAGCCAAGAGACATGAGGTGATAATGTGGAGATGGGGGTGGCAGAGTTTCTGCCGAATCTAGAGAAGAACCACACTTTCTTCCTGTGGACACTGGAGCATGGGCTCGGGGGGGACTGCAGGTGACATGGCTGTTTTCAAACAAGAGGGGCCCCCTGAGATTTTGGGGGCTATCATGTGGAGCTTAAAGATGGAGGCTGACCCAGTCTTGGGTGGTATCATGGGGCTGCAAGCAGAAGAACCCTGGCAGTTCTGGCCTTTTCAGTCACAGGAGCCAAAATACTGCCTTTGACGTGTGAACAGATTAGTGGGGAGTTTGACTTGTAACGTAAACACCTTCTAGTGACACGAACAGTAACTAAGACACTGATAAAGGTGTGAGACACAGGACAAGTGGAACAGCGGCAGTATGTGCACGCGTGTGCAAGTCTCACAGAGATAATTCTGCACGACTTCCAGGGGAGGGAGCCTTAATGTTCTGCACACTGGCTTTGAGAATGGGATCGCAGCTCCTCCTGTCTCTGCCCGCTGACTGCATAGGGGGTTGCCCAACGTGGCTTCAAGCCGAGACCCCGTGAAGTCCCCACCCCTGGCGGTGGCCATGGGAGGAAGGCAGAAGGTCCGGGGGCAGCAGTGGTCTTGAGAAGACCTCTGGGGAAAAGCCTGACAGTAACTGGGAGCTGAGTTAGGAAGCCTTGCAGACAAGAAAGGAAATTAGGGTGGTTGGTGTGTAGGGGTTAAATTCTGTCTACTACCTGAACAAACAGATTTTCGTCTCATCTCTGACAGCAGAAATCACAAATCATAGGCGTTTTAAAACTGCTGTACAGACCTACATCACATAAGAGTTTAAAACTACTTGTAACTGTGTATTAAACACCTGCACTTCGAATACAATTCCTTTAAATTTAGCGAGTCTTTATTAAAAAGAAATCGAACTGGGGTGCCTGGGTGGCTCAGTTGCTAAGCATCTGCCTTTGGCTCAGGTCATGATCCCGGGGTCCTGGGATTGAGCCCCATGTCTGGCTCCCTGCTCAGCAGGAAGCCTGTTTCTCCCTCTCCCACTCCCCCTGCTTGTGTTCCCTCTCTCGCTGTCTCTGTCAAAAAATAAAAAAAATCTTAAAAACAAAAAATAAAAAATAAAAAGAAATTGAACTGATAATCTGAATGTACTCTCTGGCCTCGGGTCCCCCCTTCTGTAAGGGGGGCCTTCAGAACATGGAAGCCGCGGGCACTGCCTTCATCGGGGAGAGCTATGCACAGACAATGCAGGGCGCCCCCCCCAATACTGGGCGCTCCAACCTGAGTACTGTCCAGCTTCTGTCCACTTCTCCTAATAATCTAGGAACAGATTAAATGGGGAAAGAGAGGTCAGTGGCCTGACTCAAGCAATTAATATCTGTGTGCAGTTCTCTGTCGAGTTAAAAGAGGAGGTAAAGTTACCAGCCACGCAAGTGATTTCCTGATGTGCAAATTTCACAGACTTCCGAAACAAGCACTTCACCCAAAGTCAGGTGGCTGGGCGGCCAGGTGAAAAGCCACCTCGCTGCTCCCGCTTCAGGCCCCTCCCCGACCCCCGCGGGACCCGGGGGCACCCGTCGGGCTGGGGCACTGACCTGGAATGAGACGAGATCTCGCTGAGGTCACCCATGCTGCCGTCGGCCGCGCTGCCTGCCGAGATGGCCGGCGCGTAGCTGTGCACCGCGAACATCTTCGCCTGCTCATCGTCGGGCCCTGAGATGTCGGCCGAGTCGGCCCACTGCTCGGCGCGGCTGTGGATCACCGACCTGCTGCCCGCCAGGTGCACGGGGCCCAGGACCGCGGCGGGCATGCAGGGGGCCGTGTCGATGCCGCTGTCCGTGGAGGCCCCCTTGATGTAGGTCAGCCCCAGCAGCTCTGGGTCCATCAGGTCCCCAGACCCAAAATGCTTGTCGTCGCTGTTGCTGGACGTGTTACTTGAGAGCGTGTTGCTGCTGGAGTGACTGGAGCAACTTTTGTCTCCAATCTTGGGAAGAGAGAAATGGGAAGGCTTCAGACAGAGCCCATACTTTGCTTCTTTATGAAGACGATTAGTCTCACCCAAATGCACAAAGCTACAGACCAGATGATCGCCCCTGAACCCTTTCTACTCGCTCTTCAACGTGAGGCAAGGAGAGAATTCGCTTAAAAAAAAAAAAAAATCTGATTTGATGCAGAAGTCCCAGATTCGTAATTCCTCTCACAATTCATTTTAAGTTAAATGGATCTTCTCAAGCCCAAGCCTCTGTTCAATTATTCGTGCCCACAGCACGGAAGTATTACCACGGTGTCACTAACCAGAAAATAATCAACACATGTTATACAGACTGGGAAAGCACATGGAAAATTACATAAAGCCTTTCACCAAGAAAATTCTCCCGTGACAAATTACGGTGCCAGCCCTGGGTGTGGGCGGATGACTCGGGTTTGAATCACAGCAGCATGATATTGTCCCATCACTTAGCCCCTCTCTGTGCTCCTAACACTGAGCTCGGATGATGAGTATGTGGACCCAGCAAGATAATACACTGTAATGTCCTGCAGCTGCAAAGCGCAATGTAAGTGTAAGTGACTTCTCTGAGAGAGCCCGTCACCAGGTGCCCCAGGTGCTAGTGCGCAGGGGCTCTCTTTGCGGTCCCTGGAAGAGAAAAGACGTCCCCATGTGACTGAGGCGCCCCTACAGACATGGCTCCTCTGCATAGCCTGGGAACACCAACAAGGCCTGAAGCACCAGCGAAGGGTGGAATCATGAAGACAAGTCCGTGCCCGGATCTACCGTAAAGTGGCTTGGCTTTTCTCCTTCATGCCACCCCACCAGCTCCTCACACACACCCACCTGCCCTTGACCTTTTCAGCACACTGATACTCTTCGGGTCTACTCCTACCCCTGCCTTCCTTTGTTTAAACCACCGTTAGAGATTTGTGAAGGTGGAATTCTACGGATACTGTTAGGCTGAACCCAAAACAAAGTCCTGACAGCGCTAAGGGAAGAAATGTCACATGTGTTCCCGAGCCCCCCCACCCCCGCCGCCCTGCGTAAAGCTCGCCAAGGACTCCTGAAGGAAGAGGGAAAAAGCAACTAAGTCAGGAAATGGTAAAATTTCTTCACCTGCAAGTTTTCAAAACTAAGTGACTTTAAAATGTTGGCTTTAGGGCGCCTGGGTGGCTCAGTTGGTTAAGCGTCTGCCTTCGGCTCAGGTCGTGATCCCAGGGTCCTGGGATGGAGCCCCGCATCGGGCTCCCTGCTCGGCGGGGAGCCTGCTTCTCCTTCTCCCTCTCTCTCTGTGCTCCCCCGCTCTCTCTCAAATAAATACATAAAATCTTTAAAATAAATCAAAGTAAAATGTCGGCTTTATGTGGCAACGACCCACAATTCATGTTTTCACGTTCGACAGAAAGTTCTGCTTCATCGAGCGATGGTGGCCTGTAAGGCTCACCCAGCGGGTGAAGAGGAAATGAACAGCAAATGAAACACCACGTGCAAATGACCGAGAGCCACGTGCTGGGTGTGGTGGGAGCACTGCCCGCAGGTTAGTTAGCAGCCGCTAGCGTTACCGGGAACCATCCGGAACTGCACAGTAAGTGGCCGGCTATGCGCAGAGCCGCTCCGACCACACACGCCGCTTCACAGTTTCTGGCCATGCCCACTAGCTAATGCCCACAAGGAGGTGAATAGTTCACAGATAAAAACAGGATTGTGATTTAGTAACTATTACACCGGGTATCAGGGATCAAAAAGGCTGAGGAAAGAATCTTGGCTTTGCCAGTAATTTACTGTGTGACCTTTCTTTAGGGTTCTTTATAAACCAAGGAGAGGAGAAAAAAGGAACTTACCTTCTTTATTCATTTTTACCTCGCCCCCACTGAGAGTCCCTGGCAGAACCGCTAATGCTGTGTGCTGAGATGCCTCAGGACGGCTGTGCGAGAGGTCAGCCCGCGAATGAAGGACTTACGTGGGAAAGCTTATTGGGGGAGTCCTTGCAACTTCCATCCTTCGGCAGGGCTCTTTCTTTGTAGGAACTCAGGACCTTGGAGGGCGGGCCATGCCATTTGGTTTCTGTCACATAAAGACGAGAAGAGTTGAATATCTAATTTCTAGTGTTACCAAAAGAGCAGAGCAAACACAGAAGCAGGACAACAAAATGGTCTGGTAAAAATGAACAGGACTGTGGTCCTGGAACTTTCTGGTCTCCCCAGACTCTAATAAGAGTCCACGGAACAACTACCATAAAGCTAATGTTCCATTTCCGTGGCACCACAAGTACCGTGGCCAATGACCGTGTCCCCTGCGACACTGGGAGACCCAGCCGACCACATGGGCATTGTCACAGGATGGTGCTCACCCATGGGATGAACGCATGAATGAATGAATGGACAAGGGATGGGCGAAAAGAGGGAGCAGAACGAAAGGGCTGGCCAGTTGACCAGCCGCATGTCTCATTACCCAGGTGCCTGCTTCCTTCCAGGCTGTCCTCCCGCTCCCTGGCTCCTTCACACTCCAAAGGGCCCGCGCCCTGGTGCTCGAGCAGCAGAGGAGAGTGGCATCTGCAAAGAGCACAGAGCTGAGTGACCTGCTGGCCAGGCCCCCCCTCGCACACCCGCCGTGCGTGCTGCTCCCACACGGCCCATCCCGGGAACACCCCCCAGAGGCTGCTTCCAGCAACTGGAAACGCCGCTGTCTGCTGGCCCAGCCCTGCCAGAGAAGCTTCAAGCACCTGGACTCGGGGACTCTCGTTTCCCCACTGGCTCAACAGAGGCACCTGGATGACCGCCATTTACAGACACAAAAGGGCTGCCGAAGCCAGGAGGCTGGAGGACTGTCCAGGGTCAGAGAAACTGTCCCCAAGAAGCCGAGGAGGGGCTCACTGCTTTTGTTTCGTTTCGTTTTGTTTTCTCTTGTGCTGAGAGTACAAGGCGCTGATACTTCACGTCAACTTTTTTAAGGAAAAGAAAGTAAGATGGACCGGCTTGAGACTACCTCTAGGTGGACTCTTTTAGGAAAACCCCACAGATGACAATAAAATCTTACAAAAGAAAGAAATCCCAGGAATGTTCTTCCTGCTACCAAGTGATTTCTTACTTATAGGATTCTGTGACAGATCCCGGTTTGCAGAAAAAGCCAGAAATGGCTTTTCCACTGATTAAAAAAAAAAAAAAAAATTCCCTCTACTTTTCAAATGCAACTCGATTGAGAAAAATGTCTTTAAGTTCAAGAACTCCATCTATTACCTAAGGTAGGGAACACATGTAACTCTGACTGCCAACATCTACTTCTAAGCCCAGACCAGAAGGCAGTGGGTTTCAGGGAGAGATGTTTCCCTCTGCACCTGTGAGAGCAGTAACAGAAAGCCGCTGTTCCCCCAGGGAGACCCTTCTCGTCTGACCTGGCCATTCTCTCATCTCCAGATTCAATTAAGAGCAATACAGGCAAACGATGTTGCCAGGAGCACCTTTTCCTCCCGTGAATTGTGAATGTTACCCCTGAGTTTCTGCAGCTGTCAATTCAGCATCTGTGTGTCCCCAGGAATCCTCGGGGCTACCTGACCTGCCAGCCCTTGGAGGCGACACTCGTGCACACACTCCAAGGGACAGTCCTCAGCCCGATGTGTGAGGTGCCCTTGTACTGTTCTCAAACAGGAGGCAGGAAAAGACTGCCAAATGCTAAAGCTGCTTCTCCGACTTGGGGCTGTGTTTCGGAGAAGACGCATTTCCCAGAGAGGCTGGGAATTTATTCCTCAAGGGCAATGTAAGCGAGGCGAAGACTGCCAAGGGCTACTGCCTGTAGAGTCCCCACATCCTTCATTTTCACAAAGACTTTCCTAATTAAAATGAGAAAACAGGCAAGCTCCGAATATGCACAAATGAGCTCCACTTACATAGAAATGATGAGCGTTCGGGCCTGGACAAGTGACTTATTAAAAGCCTGTCTGGCATTTTTACATCCCCCAAATGGCCTCGTACATAGCAGGCACACAGTCAATGCTTCTGTGCGAGTCCCTGACCAGGTCCCTCCCAGGGGCCAGCAATGAGGGAAGACTGAGCAGTACCCGTCATACGCCGCTTGTGGTCTCCAGGGTCCGCTGCCGCCAGGCCCGGGGTCGCTGGAGGATGACTGGTTGCTGGGTGAACTTCTGAAATGGTGACTAGAATTATTAACAGGGCACCGAGGTATCTGCGGGGTGCTGACATTGGGACCTGGCCCGTTTCGTTTCACCAATGAATTCATTTTACAATGACAAAGAAAAGGAAGAAATACACATCACAGAGTGAAACAGAATGAACTGTGGACAAAGAGACCAAGAATGGGTGATGCCAGAGTCATCGAGTGGCTCATGGTTGGCAGTTTATTACAGGAAAGAGATGTAGCAGGAATAAGCCTTCACCATCTGAAGATTTTAAAGCACAGTAATGACTCCAGTGAAGTATGGAAGGACCACAATAGAAGCCACCAGAATACAGAATTACGAAAACATTACTACTACTTGTTCAATGAAAACTTAATGCAAGGCATGTTCTGGTCCTGTATTTAAAACCTATGCAGAGAGAGAACTCTAAATTTGTCAAAACCATTTATTTTCACACATCTATTGGATGCAATCCTATTTATTTCAGACACACAAAAATAAGTAATACTCATGAGAATGCACTTGATAAAGATGTGCTTGCCAAGTTTCCATTTTGCTGCTAGAACCCTCCAGGTCTTTTTTTTCCCCCTATAATTTACTAAATTTTACTTTATTTTATTTTTTTAAAGGTTTTATTTATTTATTTGACAGAGAGAGACACAGCGAGAGAGGGAACACAAGCAGGGGGAGCGGGAGAGGGAGAAGCAGGCTCTCCGCGGAGCAGGGAGCCTGATGTGGGGCTCGATCCCAGGACCCCGGGATCATGACCTGAGCTGAAGGCAGACGCTTAACGACTGAGCCACCCAGGCACCCGAAATTTTACTTTAATAAGGGAGGCTCTTGCAGACCCCACAGACCCCTTCCCTTCTACCTGGGTTACCACGTGCCCTTCTTTAAATGTGGGGCGTTTATAAACTCAGCGGACCTCTGAGGAAGGAGACCCAGAGCCAAGATAATTTAATGTCAAATTAAAGGAACACTGTTTCTGCATTCAACCTCTAAAGAATAAACTGGAGAAAGCAGAGAAAGACCTCATGTTTTAATCTTACCAACTATCAGCAATACTTATATAGGTCTACTACATGCCAGGAATGGTTCTGAGCAGTTTGCAAATACTGATGGAGTCCATCTTCATAAGGCCTGCAGAGGTCTCTATTATTACTAAGTTTATTGTTCAGACGAGGAAATTGGAGGTGGGAGAGGATGCTCGAGGTGAGCATACATAGGTAAGCAGCCTGGCTCAGCATCCTTGCCTCCAACACTCTATTAGACCAGAGAGCCTGGCAAACCAGTTTGAGGAAACTCATGGTGTCTCCATGGCCCATAAGTTATGAAAAAATGAAAACAAAAGCAGTAGAAATGAACAACAAAACAAATTTACCGTTTTGTTCACTTAAAACTACCTAATGCGAGTTATGTACCCCAAATTCTCGCCAGCCACTGAGGCCATAGATGCACTTTTAAACAAGTGTATTCTCTCATTGAAAAATTAATTTTGGGGGTGCCTGAATGGCTCAGCCAGTTGAGCGTCCCACTCTTGGTTTTGGCTCAGGTCATGAACTCATGAGTTGTAAGATCAAGCCCCGTGTCAGGCTCCCTGCTCAGTGGGGAGTCTGCTTGAAGATTCTCTCCCTCTGCCCATCTCCCCAGTCTCTCTCTCTCTAAAATAAATAGATAAATCTTTAAAAAAAAAAAAAAGAAAAATTAATTTTCAACTTAACTCAGTTTGCTTAAAATAAGAAAAAAAAAGCAAGGACATGCTAATGATCTTGGGACCTCTTAAAATACTATACACATTAGGATGATAGGATTTAGTCACTGGTTTTGCAGTTTTATTTATACTCAAGACTGCTTGCATTTATCTAGAGGCTCATGAAGAATCCCTTCTCGGGTGTCTTGCCCAAGACGGTGGAGGGAGCGAGGTGACCAGGAGGACTAGGGGAGGGTGGGTCTGGGGTAGGACCTACATGGTTCGAGCAGCACCACTGGGTGAGGCGTGGGGCAGATCCCATGCGCCACCGCATCTGGGGCCTGCCCTATGGCCCCACCTGCCAACTGGTGCAGAATAAGTTGACTTAGTAACAAGCTAAATAAGAAGGTCCCCCCTGTAATGTCAAGTTCTAACCCCAGGATTTTGCAAGGGCCGTCCCGGAGGAAAGGCACAGCCTCACCTGGTGCCATCGGGCAGCTTCCGGTCGAAGGAGGTGCTTCGAGGGATGGCAGCCTGGGCCTGCTGTAGCAGCTGCTGACACTGCAGTCGGTCGGGTGTGCCGGGGACCGGGGAGGCCCGGGCCAGGGGCTGCAGGGCCGGGGTGGGCACACGGTGCCATGTGGTGTTCCTCCGGAAAGGCGTTTTGTACTCACACGGGGTGCCTTCACTGTCCAGCTTGTATTCCACCATGGGGATCCGGCAGAGCTCTGAACACCCTCTGTTGGGCCAAGAAGAGCGGGTTAAGTAGGGAGGCTCAGTGCCAAGCCATCAGCATGCCTGCTCATGGCTTCCAGACAACGGAGGAGAGCCATCGCCCCCAGAAGCATCCCTGGCTTATAGGGACTCATTCCATGACCCAGTGGGAACCAGTAGCATCCAGTATCACGCTTGTGGCTCTGGTTAATCGACAGATATTGCTTTAGGCATTACGTGCCTATATCCTGTCTCTCTGGGTCATTTGCAAACTTCTTAGACCCGAATATATCTTTATCCAATTCGCATACGTGGAATCATACACATTGAACATAGGGAAATAAATACACTTGAACGGATTAAAAATGCCTCATATGAAATCTGAACAGATTCAAAAGAAGTACAGTTATATAACTAGGAATTAGTCACAGGTCACCTTTTCTATGGAGCCTGAGAAAAGTGAAAAAACAAAATTAGTAAACGCTCTCACAGCCCAGGGGAAGCCTGAGTGCCCGTCCGGCCAAAGTAGGGCTCTTAGTTACCATGTCGCTCTCCTAAACTAGCGTTACAGTTCCCCACATGTCATCTGCTGGAGTGCTCTTTCATGTGCTGAGGTGACCAGTCGGGAACGTAAGACCTGTTAGCCTCAGACTGTGATTTGAGCCAGACATCCCTCAAGTTTCTCATTAATTACACAGTGCACATAGTACTATTAACCTGACCCAAGTCAGCCTGTGCGACCAGATGGCACGGTATGGCAAGGACACAGAAGACAGGCTAAGTTTCAAGTCTGAGTGCCAGGGCACATCATCCCAGCTTAGCATGTTCATAGAGCTGGTGCCTCTCCATTCCAGAGTCCACAGAGAAACTTGCTAATATTCACCCCCTGAGAAATCCACTAGGGTAAGTTGTGGTTCTTTAAAAAGGAGACTTCCGTTCTCAAGATGGTAGAGGAACATTTCGGCCTCTTTTCAAAATCATTATATAAGAACGAGGAGAACAAGGAACAGAAACAAACTTGACCACCTATAAAACTGGAGACAGATGAAACTCTAAACCACGGCAATCACAGATGGAAGGCAAAACCCAAGGGTGTGCAGAGGGAAACAAGGAGAGACGAGACCACTCCCCTTAACACAACCTCGAAGGGGCACAGGGATGGGAAGCACCAGGCACTGCAGGAGTCAAAAGTGAGAAAGAAGGCTTAACAAGAGAGTCTTAAGTCTTTCTCTCTTAGAAAAGAGAGAACAAAGAGAAGTTGGACCCTGGGCACCATCAGCACCACATGGCAAAAGGGTCTAGTCAGGCAACAACGACCCCTGCCTCTAGGGGGCAGGAGCAATGGTCTGGGGAACTCCACCTGAAGGATCCAGACTCCAGGCACAGAGGAGAGCATGGCTGAAAACAAAAGGTTAAGTGAAAATCTCACTGGAAAATGAGACCCAGAGTCATTTCCCCTTCCTTCAAACCCAACTTCAAAATGCTGATCAGTCTACAAAGACCAACGAGGATCTTCCTCTGGTGAAAAGACAAGGAGATGTAATTAGACGTAAGCCACCCTATCACCCTGCAGTGAGGCTCACCAACCAACCATATCCTTAGAGAATAAGAAAGCTTTTGAAATTTAAAAACATGATAGCTAAAATTCAAAATAAAAAAAGTCTACTAAGACTAAGGTAAACTGAGGAACTCTCCCAAAACATTTGAGGAGAGCAAGCATACAAAATTAAAGTTCGATCCAAGAAGTCTAATGTCTACCTAACAGAGGTACCAGAAAGAGAAGAGGGGGCAAAAGATGGGGAGGAAATTATTAAGAAACCATACAGGAAAATCTCCATAACTAAAAGATAGGTAAAACCAGATTAAAAGGTCCACACAGTGCCCAGTGCATTGAGTGGAGAAAGGTCTATGTCAAGACATACATACTTACGTACGTAGGATGGAATGAAACTCTTGGAGGTGATGGTGTTGATTATGGTGAGGGTTCTATGGCTGTATACTTATCTCCAGACTCACTAAGCTGTGTGCATTAGATGTATACAGTTATGTCAGTCATACCTCAATAAGGTCTTTTTCAGACATCATGTGGAACTCGAACTCTTGGGTTACAGAGGAGATCCTGAATTTCTGGGGGTACAGGAGATAGGGAAGGGGGGCCGGCCTCACACAAAGGGTCAGGGCACAGAACAGCTTCATTCTTCTCAGCAGCATTACTGGATCAAAGTTACTTCTCACCCATCAAATCAACAGTCGTTGGAGCTTGGGATGAAGAAACAGGTAGGAATATAACAATGGCCTGCTTTTGGGCTTGGGAAACCAAATGGATGGTTGGTGCTACCCTCTGAGAAGAGAAGAGAAGGAGACTGAATAAACCATCCGAAAGAGACACTCACGCCTGTTTTAGTAAACTTTACTTCATCTTTTATTTTAACTTTTCTTCCCTCAAAGCAAAATTCATCTCTTACCTAGGCAAGGTGAAATTACTCTGGATTTCCTGAACGTGTTAGTTAAATGATTGGTCAACTCTGATAAGCCCAGATTTACACTGGATTGCATGACTATTATTATTATTATTATTTTATAAAATTCCAAGGCTCTACAACATTTACTCATGGACTTATACTGTTTCCAAGTCTTTTTCTCTTTAACTAGATGACACGTCCCCTGGGACTACGGATTCATCCATTCGACCAACAACCTAATTAGAAATCATAAATGTGGGATATGACAGTAATATCAAAATATCAAGAAAACCTGCTCTTGTCTTCCACCCTATTCAGTGCTCTAAGCAAGTCACTGGATAGTCAGGCGAACCCCTGGGCTTTGGTCTCAAAGGCTGCAGGTGCCCGAAGAGTACAGGTCAGGGAATCCTTAAAGGCAGAGACCTATCCAAGTGAAGGGTCTTGGAGTTATATTTGAATGAAAGGAACATGAACCTTGAATCTTGTGGACCAAAGGGCAACGTGTATCTCCAGTGCCTTTTTGGGTTCCTAGTTTACTGGACTAGGCTTAAAAGGAAGAGAAAGCAAAGAGAAGACAGATGGCTGAGGCGTGTGGAATATTTAATTCATGCTCATCAATTGTAGCCTTTAATAAGACGTTGTAATTTAGCTTGAATCTTTGAGGAAAAACATTATATAAATGCATAATCATGACTAATATTTTAGAGAGTGCTGACAAAAACGTGTGCAAACGCATGAGGTTGAGGGGAGATTCAGGGTGGAATTATTTCATTTCCAACCTTTTGCACAAAGTCATATGTGAATGATCTTCTTAATACTAAAAGCTGGAATTCTTTTGCCCTAATAAAGAACAGCTATTTTTGAAAGAATGGCTTTATTTGAAAATCAAAATTAATTTTGTGAGTATGTGACACTTTTATAGCAACTACTCTTATAAGCTAGGTTTCTGCTTTGTTTACTTCTAGGACTAAACCATCAAATAAATACCACTAATTTTAACATACCATCAAACCTAGTCAAACATAGTTCTGTTCTAAGAAATGTCTGGAAGGACACAGACAGAAGATTCAACCAAGTTTTAGGGAAATAGGAAGAGGTCTAAAATAAGGTTGCCAATTAGCCTACAGCAGAGGTCCTCCTGCTGCAGTGAGTACGAGAAACTCCTCCCCCTCTGCACCTGTACCTATCCCTGTCCCCGCACACACTCCTCTTGTCTCTGTGGCTAGTTCCAGCATAGGATGCCAGGCAAGATCTCCCCGCTCCTCTGAAGCATCAAGCCCTGAAATGGCACACAGCAAGGATTTCTGACCACCAGGTAAAGACCAACGGAAACCCAAAGACGAAATGCAAAAAGACCTAGCACAAAAAGACATTTCCCCCCAAAGTGAACTGCTAATCTTGTGTGTAACCGAAACAGGTTGTTGTTGTTGTTGTTGTTTTTAAGAAAAGACAAGCTTTTAGCTTCCTTGCATTAGTTACAAATTCAGACCTCACGGAGAAATGCCCTCGGCTTCCTTTCGACATACACCACATCAAGTCCACGAACGTGAACTGCATTTCTAGCTTCTGGCACACTTTTCACAGGTTGCTTGCCAACAAAGACACTGGACGATGTTAGAGACGGCTGTGGGGGTCACTTCCATGTGAGCATACTGATTTCCTCTTTGCGCAGTAACAAATGTGCATGTCACCTATTTATGCTTCTAATTAACATGCCAGGTAGAGATCAATACACACTCCGCCTCGGGGTTAAAAATACATATAACTGTTAACATTGCTTGTCTAGCCAGGAACTTCTCTGGGTCTAACACTGCTCTGTAGTATTAGAAGGAAGGCAAAAACATTCTCTGGACCAAAGTGGTCATAAAACGTGTGCTCACTGAACATGCGGTATTACAAAACTGCGAAACTGACAAGTATTACAAAACTGTGAAACTGATAAGCAGTTCCAATAGTTGGAGCCCTCAGAGCATCTTATATTTTACTGCTTTACTCTGCAGAATGCTACTCCTTGTCCTTCTGAACTTAGCACCGTGGGCTTTCTGGGATGGCTTATTCCTGGACCAGGGACACTCGTCTATGTCCTTGTATCCACACTCATCAGCGCTCTCCCTGCTTCCTGCAGCCTGAAGTGGTTTCCCACCGGCAGGGTCCTAGGGCAGGCAGCTGCTACTGCTTCCCAGCCTCTGGACACGGCAGGCAGGGAGGTGGTGCTCACTCAGGGGTCACAGTTACAGGCACCTGTCTGCACTGCCAAGCACCGCACTTATGCATCCCTAACTTTAGAGACACCCTGCAAGGTCCTCAATGGGCTTCCGCCCCCACAGACCGGTGTTTTTCAAATGACACCTCTAGTTTCCTGGAAGAACCCTCCATTAGCTGTCAGTCATTCAAGCATTTGAAGGCAGAATCACTGCTAGCCAGGCTGTGGTTCCTGTTCTGAAGGCTCACTGCCACCTTTGAGCCTATCAAGGCCATCACGGGTGGCTCACCCAGACCATCCTCAGCAGGATCCCTCCCCAGGAATCACACTGTTCTCCATTAAAGACACAGTTTGGGCTCT